CCACAAAGTGAAAAAGAGTAAAGTGAAAAGGGGAAGAGGCGCGAGAGAAAGAAAATGTTTTCTCCAAAATTCAAACAGCCACAACACGTGTCAACCAAGGGACACAACTGACGACACATTTAATGAGCCCCATTATGACGAGTACAAGTCATCATTGCATAACCGTCACTTCCCATTAACGCGCCGCCCACACGTTATGGGAACGAGGCAACAATTATGACACATGGCATCTTGACAGACACGCGTACGCGAAGGGTCACGGTCCCTTGAGGAGCTCGATTTTAACTCCTCGACCTACAGTCTTCGGAGCTCGGGGGGCTAGTGTACTATCTGTATCGCTATGCCGAGCTTGAGGAGTTCGGCTTCATAGCGCGGGACGACCTTGGACACGCGCTAAGCTATGTCAGCTCGACATCCAAATAGATCATAACTGATCTTGGGCCCAAGGCCTAGAAAAACCCTAATCCACACAAAGGTACGTGCATTACTTATACGAGATTCATACTCCCACAAACACTAACTTTAGCATCGGAGTCTCTTTTGCAGGTATCACCCCCATCTTGGAGCATCAAACGTACCAATGAAGGAGGCTCGCCCGCAAAAATTATAAAAATGTCATCGTGTCTTTTTTACGTCGGATTTTAATGTGTCCGACGTTAAAGAAGTGACGTAATATACTAATTTTCCACTAGTGATTAACTCCTCATAAGATCAAATTGAACTTTTTTTTCAAAAAAAGTCTTCTAAACTATTAAAACTCATAAGAAATCATCAAATTCTAGAATTTTTTAACACAACACAATAGCTCAACTAAATAATATATAATTAATTAAATAAAAATGACACTCTAAGATTTTTAGTGTTACAAATTATTGTAAGAGATTGAAATGTATGCTAATTAAGTAAAGTATGAAGGAAGGTAAATCACAACACTATAAACTGGAATGGATTGAAATAAAAATATTATACTATTATATTTGGATAGTTTATACTATTCTATATTATCTCTCTGACTCTCGTCGCTTTTGTTGCGTTTGGGAGAAGTAAATCATAAAATAATAAATTTACTATAAAATAAAGGAAGAATGTCACGTTTCATGGCATACAGTTCAATTTGAGGGATAAGAAGAAAGACTCGAGACAGTGGAATCTGATGGAATGGGTTCCATTCCTGGTAGGGTCCGACGTAAAATGTCAAATCTACGTCTTTTTAGATTTGACATTTTACGCCGGACCCTACCAGGTCCGACGTAAAAAAGTTCGCAAAAATTATAAAAATGTCATCGTGTCTTTTTTACGTCGGATTTTAATGTGTCCGACGTTAAAGAAGTGACGTAATATACTAATTTTCCACTAGTGATTAACTCCTCATAAGATCAAATTGAACTTTTTTTTCAAAAAAAGTCTTCTAAACTATTAAAACTCATAAGAAATCATCAAATTCTAGAATTTTTTAACACAACACAATAGCTCAACTAAATAATATATAATTAATTAAATAAAAATGACACTCTAAGATTTTTAGTGTTACAAATTATTGTAAGAGATTGAAATGTATGCTAATTAAGTAAAGTATGAAGGAAGGTAAATCACAACACTATAAACTGGAATGGATTGAAATAAAAATATTATACTATTATATTTGGATAGTTTATACTATTCTATATTATCTCTCTGACTCTCGTCGCTTTTGTTGCGTTTGGGAGAAGTAAATCATAAAATAATAAATTTACTATAAAATAAAGGAAGAATGTCACGTTTCATGGCATACAGTTCAATTTGAGGGATAAGAAGAAAGACTCGAGACAGTGGAATCTGATGGAATGGGTTCCATTCCCTGCCATTATATTATGTTTTTAGTTTTTAATACAAACAATAGACCTTGAATTCATTTCATCCATCTCGCTCTAATATTCACTGCAATAAAATTTATAAAAAATTATTTAACGATAATAAATTAATGGCTTCTATGCTTTTCATTTAAGAAGATGAAAAACTGAAAGATGCTGAATCTGTGTAGTTGGTGTAGAGTTTTCTGATTTATGGATCTGCTCTGTTGCCAATTTGATACCAAGCTTCTAAGTGTGAGAGAGATGTTGTGTGTTCTACTTTTTGTTGTTTGAATTGTGATAAGGTATAGCTGTATGACTTTGTCTTACATGTCATTGAAGAAGTTTTATAACTATACTCCTGTTGCCATGCTAAATCTCAAACTGTTGTTTCATTTACCATTTGCTTGACTTTAAACATATGTACTATTTACGGCTTGTCATTTTTAAAAATTTATTATTAGTGATAATTATTTATTAAAAAAACTTAAGTCTCATATCGACTATAAATAAAATAATTAAATAATATATAAGTAAAGAGCAACTCTCACATTTTTTAGAAGATAAAACAATTAGAAATAAGGAAAAACTCAAGTCCTACATCAATTATAGATAAAATAATTAAATAATACGTAAGTAGAGAACAATTCTTACCTTATAAGTCTCACATTTCTTAGGTAATAATAAGACAATTAAAAAATAAGTAAAAAACTCAAGTCTTATATCAACTATAGATAAAATAATTAATTAGGAAATAAGATAATTAAAAAAATAAGGGAATTAAATAATATATAAGTAGATGACAATCTTCATCTTACAATTCCCAGATCGATTAAAGATAAGGTAATTAAAGAGTATTATGAATCATTTCTTAAATTTTTAGAGACAAAAGCAAAAAAATATTAAATATTAGTAAAAATAAATGACACAAAACTTATATATTTTTCTTGACCATCCTGGTAGGGTCCGACGTAAAATGTCAAATCTACGTCTTTTTAGATTTGACATTTTACGCCGGACCCTACCAGGTCCGACGTAAAAAAGTTCGCAAAAATTATAAAAATGTCATCGTGTCTTTTTTACGTCGGATTTTAATGTGTCCGACGTTAAAGAAGTGACGTAATATACTAATTTTCCACTAGTGATTAACTCCTCATAAGATCAAATTGAACTTTTTTTTCAAAAAAAGTCTTCTAAACTATTAAAACTCATAAGAAATCATCAAATTCTAGAATTTTTTAACACAACACAATAGCTCAACTAAATAATATATAATTAATTAAATAAAAATGACACTCTAAGATTTTTAGTGTTACAAATTATTGTAAGAGATTGAAATGTATGCTAATTAAGTAAAGTATGAAGGAAGGTAAATCACAACACTATAAACTGGAATGGATTGAAATAAAAATATTATACTATTATATTTGGATAGTTTATACTATTCTATATTATCTCTCTGACTCTCGTCGCTTTTGTTGCGTTTGGGAGAAGTAAATCATAAAATAATAAATTTACTATAAAATAAAGGAAGAATGTCACGTTTCATGGCATACAGTTCAATTTGAGGGATAAGAAGAAAGACTCGAGACAGTGGAATCTGATGGAATGGGTTCCATCCCCTGCCATTATATTATGTTTTTAGTTTTTAATACAAACAATAGACCTTGAATTCATTTCATCCATCTCGCTCTAATATTCACTGCAATAAAATTTATAAAAAATTATTTAACGATAATAAATTAATTTTTTATTTTATTATCTAATAAAAATATTAATGATTGATATATAATAGATATTAAAAATATATTTATATCACACAAAAATTTATTATTAGTGATAATTATTTATTAAAAAAACTTAAGTCTCATATCGACTATAAATAAAATAATTAAATAATATATAAGTAAAGAGCAACTCTCACATTTTTTAGAAGATAAAACAATTAGAAATAAGGAAAAACTCAAGTCCTACATCAATTATAGATAAAATAATTAAATAATACGTAAGTAGAGAACAATTCTTACCTTATAAGTCTCACATTTCTTAGGTAATAATAAGACAATTAAAAAATAAGTAAAAAACTCAAGTCTTATATCAACTATAGATAAAATAATTAATTAGGAAATAAGATAATTAAAAAAATAAGGGAATTAAATAATATATAAGTAGATGACAATCTTCATCTTACAATTCCCAGCGTTTTTTTATTGTTGCCATAGATAACAAATGTTGTAGTGCGATCTTACCTAACAGATCATCCCCTACGACCGATCGGTAAGAACAGTATCCTTAGAGAGGGAAAAGGACAAAAAAAATCCCTCAACAACAAATTCGTTAATTACAACAGACAACAATAATGCACACAACAATGAAACATGTTCACAAGTTATTACCCACAAAGGCCAACATGAACACAAACGTAATTAGATAAAAGTCCCAGTAAAAATTGGCATAGAAGTTCTTTAACTTTTAGGGGTTTACACTATTATAGATGACTATTTTTAGAGCATGGCTTAACCATAAGTCGAGACACAAAGCCTTATGCTTTACAAAGACTTGGGGGCTACTATTATGGAAGGCCATTATGAAAATCACAAATCACTACAAAACTTTATGCTTTACACTTACTTGGGAGGCTTCTAGTTTGGAGAAGTCCTCAAGGACAAAGGTTGTCCTCCATTCCAACTGACCTACACATGAAGCAGACATCTGCCTAACCTTGGGTAACTGACATGGTGTACTGAAGGTCGACCTAACCACATAGATTGGCCTAGTCATATGGAATTTTGACCTTGTCATGATTTAAGTATAAACATGGAAATCCAGACATGATACTCCCACACAATGCACTCCCACGACTACCAACATACTATAGAACAACTTGACCTCATAGGATAACAATTTTTCTCTATCTCTTACATTGTCATTTGGTCACTAGCTATAAGTAAGGCTACTTATTACAACTTTGGTATATTTTTCTCTATTTTTGTTATTATACTAAAAATCTTAGTGACTTGAGTGTTGGAGTGATTGCAAGTAACCTCTATCATCACACACCATTATTCAAACGTTTATTCGCTAAAACCAACATGAATGCTTGTCTACGGTATTGCTCCCTATTCAAAATCCTAACAAATATATTAACCCTATAATTATTATGAGTCATAATTAATTAATAGTTTTTTAAAATATTTTATTCAAGAAAATCAGGTTACATGTTATATAGATATATGATGTGGCATATCCACTAACATGTAGTTGGCTCTTTTGTACATCACAATTATCCTCAATTTGAGCACTTACATACGAGCACATTTATTAAAAACTGAAAATTAAACATTACATTTAATCATATCATAGATTGACACACAACTCAACTTAATATATCATTAATTACTTCAGGTTAATCTTGCTGACGAGTGGACGAGCTTTGCACAAGGCATTCAATGGAGTTACCCTTGACAAGCTAAACCAATTTGCCTCTGTCATATCGATTTCTTCCTCAGTAACTCGCTTCCATTCAAAGCATTGAATTAATGTTCCCAATGTCAAGCCAACATTTTGCATAGCTAAAGGTTCTCCTGGGCAAGCCCTTCTTCCCATCCCAAATGCAACCAACTTTTTCTCCTCTCCTTCTACATCAAATCTCTCTGGTATAAAACTCAAGGCTTTATTCCACAGTTGAGGGTCTCTTTGTATAGCCCAAATATTTACCAACACCATGGTGTCTCTTGGAATGTTGAATTCTCCAATAGTGATGTCTTCTGAGTTCACATGTGGTATTGATATTGGAGCAGGAGGATGCAACCTAAGTGTCTCAAGGATGATCTTTTTAAGGTAAGGCAATTTTGAAAGGTCTGACTCACTTATCAAACGATCTTGTCCTATATGAGTGTCCAATTCATCTCTTGCTTTTTTTAATACTTCGGGATGATTCAATAAATTGGATATTGCCCACTCTATTGTTACGGCCGACGAATCCGTTCCACCAATAAGCATAGCCTACAATTCAAGAAAAGAAAAGCATATAAAATCAAAAATTAAAAATAATAATTTCACCTTATTGGTAGAGCTTAGCTTGTGATTGGGATCATTTTATTGTATAAGGCTTGAAATTCGTCGATATAACCTTAATTTTTACTAATATTAATAAAGAATTAATATTTTCGTGTTAAAATATTTTTAAAATATAATATATAAGATAAAGAAAATTTATGATCACACATTTTGTAAATTAAATATAGAAAAATGATATAAAAATAATATTCTTTTATAACAGTATAAATTGATCCTTCATCCAAACTTTTATCAATCCTCGTATTATTAAAAAAAATTAATTCGGACATATATTATAGGGGATTTAAATATAAAAAGTTAATTAAATTAATGTACTGATGTCGTAAAAATTTTTATATTAATTATGAATCACTGTGCATGAGAATATAGATAACTTTTATTTTAAAAATCATAATTACGGTGTTTTCTATTTAATTGACCAGTGACAACATTAAAATTACTGTATGATGCATTTTAGTTAAACTTGTTATTTTTTTAGATTAAAATAATAATCAAAATCATTACCAAAACAAGGCCTTTGATGATTTGATCGGTGTAATAATCGGGCTGCGATTCTTGCAGAGTGAGAAGATGATCGATCATGGTATTTTCCCTCTGCTTCTTGCTTCGTTGCTCGAGAACAAATCCATCCAACAACGTGTCAAATCTCTTACTAATATTCTTGAGCCTCTTGACCACGTTTTGAAAATCGAACCACCTAAGGAAAGGTAAGTGTTCTGCTTTGTTAGACACCCCAATGAGATGCAACAACTCCTCCACCGTCTCTCTGAACTCCTTCGCCTCTTTCACATCCTTCATCTCAGTCTCGTTCCCATAGTACCTCTTCCCCGCCAACATCCTCATCATGTTGTTATACGACATGTCGTGGAACAAGGAACTTAGCTCCACGGGCGCGTAGTCCATGCACGAGTCCTTGGCTAGGGTTCGTATCATCCTATACGTTTCGTCCTTTCGGATTCCGGTGAAGGAGTGAATACGTTGAGTTGAGAGAACCTCGAGCGAGGTTATGCGGCGGAGGTTGCGCCAGTGCTCGCCGTAGGAGCACGACCCCACGGTGGTGTAGTTGTAGAAGATGTGCTTTCCCGAGAGATTGCGAGGTCGGTTCGCCAAGGCGACGTCGTTTTTGGTGAAGCATTCTTGGAACGCCGCGTGAGATGAAACCACCACGGCAAGACGTGAACCCATCCAAAGGGAAAACACCTTGCCATGTTTCTCTGTCAAGCGTTGAAGGAAACGGTGGAGTGGGAGTTCGAGGAGGTTTAGGTTTCCGATTATGGGAAGAGGGGATGGACCAGGTGGTAGGTTTTTGTATTTTCTGCTTCCGAAGAAGAGTTTCAAAGTGAGAAGAGAAACAAGGAAAAAGAGAGCGTAAGGCAAGAGATGAAACATTTCCATGGCTGGTTACAGCACTGAGTGGAGAGATTGTGCAGTTATTAGTTAAGTTACTACAATAGGAGCCATGTGATGCAACGTTTATATAGAGAGTAGGGTCCAGGAATGCGTTTTATGAAATTATTCACCCTTGTTGTCACTCTGCTGCAAAATCAAAGTCAAGAAACATATTATATATCCAGAGTCAAGATTCAAATGGCAACAGATTAGCTGATTTTTCTTGATTTTTCTTGATTTTTTAATTAACGTTATTAAATGGATTTGTCTTTTTCAAAAAATTATTTCTAAATTAAAGCAATTAAAAATACATTCGGTTTTTACTTATGTAATTATTAAATATGTTTTATGTTTAACGATTTCCACCCGACTGCGTATGGGTGACGGAAACAGATCTCTAAAAGACGTGCACGTGTTCTGCAATTTACCTAAAGAATCAACAGACCACTGCCTAAAATTAAGGAGAATAATATTTTAGCTTTATATGAATTTTTGAAATATGGAAAAATGGAATTGCAAATTTTTCTTTTACAAACCAATTTTGCATTATTTCTTGACAATAAATTTAGTATCACCTATTTCAATCATCTAACATATGTACATACCTAAATATACACCTCAATTTAAATGTTCAATTGTGATGTTAATTTCTATGGCCGATGGTACATTTATTTTAGTTACTCATCATTTTATAAAACTCTAATTGTTTAACTATGATATACCAAGATTTTGAATCCTTATCGTATATTGAGGGTGATTCCTTTAATCGATCTTGATAAATTCTGACCTAGAGATATTCATATCAACTTTCAGATATGAATAAGTTGATTGATGGCTCATCAGAACTTCATAATATCACTATCTGACATTTCTGGATACTTGGTTTGGATATAATCAGATCCCGTTACATCCAGATGATCGGGAAAAAAAAAAAACGACATTCATGGCGAAAAAAGAAAATCAAAAGGTAATGTCTTTTGGATTGAAGAATACTAGCGTCACTTATAAAAAGTTGGTGAAAAAGTTGTTAGTCAGATATGAAGTAATTTGGGGGTATATGTTGACGATTTGATAATCAAAAGTTCAACACGAAAATGTCATTTAGAAGATCTGGCAAAAACTTATCATTAATTAATAAAATAACAGAAATAGAGAGGCGGCTAAGAAACATGAATTTCTGTGTGTATTGATTACCAATGATTACAGTTTATATAGTCTGTACAAAAGGATGGAATGACCTAAAGGAATAAAGCATATTCTGTACAATATATGACAGCGCATTATTGCTGTAAAATGGTCACTAAAATAAGAAGGAAAAGAGGAAAAATAACAGAAAGATCCTTCGTTGTGCTGTCATGTAATTTGTGCTGTGCTGTTATACGGTTCTGCTGTTAGCCCCCCACAAGCTGGAGGTGCAAAAATGTTTTGTAGCTGTAGCTTGGAGAGATTCAGTTTGAAGGCATGAGGAGGCAAGGCCTTAGTGAAGATATCCGCGAGTTGTTTGGCAGAAGGAACAGGGAGCAATTTCATCAAGCCTGCTTGGGTTTTCTCACGCACAATATGGCAATCAATGTCCAGGTGTTTCGTTCTTTCATGAAACACTGGATTGGCAGCAATGTGGAGGGCGCTGGTGTTGTCGCAGTAAAGGAGGGAAATCTGAGAAAGGGAAATATGGAGATCTCTGAGCAAGTAAATGATCCATTGCAATTCACAGGTAGCAGAAGCGAGGGCTCTGTATTCTGCCTCGGAAGAAGATCGTGATACAGTGGTTTGCTTCTTTGTTTTCCATGAGATGAGAGCATTACCAATAAAGAAACAGTAACCGGTGATGGAACGTCGAGAAGCTACACAAGTGGCCCAGTCAGCATCACTAAAGCCTGAGACTTGAATTGGACAAACTCTAGGAAAGAAGAGTCCTGTACCTGGACAGCTTTTGAGGTAACGAAGAACACGCATGGCTGCGGCATGATGAGCATTGGTGGGTTTTGACATGAATTGGCTGAGTTGCTGTGTGGAAAAAGCAATGTCAGGGCGAGTATTAGTCAGATATACTAATCGGCCAACAAGTCTTCGATATGGCAAGGGGTCATCTAAATAACCAGAGGCATCATCATGAAGCCTAAGAGTACTATCCATTGGAGTCGAAGAAGGTTTGCAACCAAGCATTCCGGAGTCACTGAGTAAGTCTAAGCAGTATTTTCGTTGACAAAGGGAAATTCCTTTAGAAGAGTGAGCTACTTCAATGCCTAGGAAGTACTTCAACTGTCCTAAATCCTTGACATGAAAATTGCTGTGCAGAATGTGTTTAATGCGAGTGATTTCAGCAGCAGAATTGCCCGTTAGCACAATGTCATCTACATAGATGAGCAGAGCAGTGAAAGCTGAACCATGTCTTTTAGTGAATAGACTATGGTCAGAATGAGCTTGTTTGTAGCCATTGGAAAGCAACAAATTGGATAACTTTTCATACCACTTTCTGCTGGATTGCTTCAGCCCGTAGAGTGATTTGCGCAATTTGCAACTGTGACTTGATGAGTAACCAGTTAAACCTTGTGGCAGCTCCATGTAGACATCTTCCAGAAGGTCACCATGGAGGAAGGCGTTACTGACATCTAATTGTTGGATGTGCCACTGATTTATGGAAGCCAGAGCAAGGACAACACGAACAGTGGTCATCTTGACTACAGGAGAAAATGTCTCAAAGTAGTCAATACCCTCAATTTGAGAATACCCCTTTGCTACCAATCGGGCCTTGTAACGCTCTATGCTGCCATTGGGTAAACGCTTAATTTTGAAAACCCATTTGCAGCCTATCGGGCGTACATGAGAGGGTGTTTCAACTACATCCCAAGTGTGATTCAATTCAAGGGCTTTGAGTTCACATGTCATGGCCTCACGCCAACATGGATTCTGAATAGCTTGACGGAATCCAGTAGGTTCATGTTCAGAAGATAGGGCCATTAGAAAATGATGGTAGGAAGGAGATATGTTAGTGTAGGACAGAAAACTTTGAATTGGATGTGAACATCTTGTGGATGATTGGACGGACTTAAGGGAAGGAAGCTTGTATTGATATTCGGAAAGGTATGGAGGAGGATGGATATCACGCTCGGAACGGCGCGGTGGTGGAATGGCAGGAGAGGATGATCTGTGGTGAGGCACAATATCAAAGTCGGTGGAAGTAGGGTATGAGGAAATAGAGTCATGGAAAGGAGATGTGGGTGCGGCAGGTGAAGATGGAGACGCAGACGCGTCTGGATTAGGATTTTGGGAAGGTGAGGTGTCGTTTGGAGAAGTTGGTGGTGTGGTTAGTATATCTGGGTTTGGTGATATGGTTAGGGATGGTTGGGTTATGAATGGAGAGGTAGGTGCAGATGTGTGGAAGGGAAAAGAAGTCTCATGAAAAATAACATTCCTGGAGACAAGTATTTCTCTTGTATTAATGTCCAAAATAACAAATCCCTTTGTGCCATTTTGAAATCCCATAAAAATACCTTTTCTTGAACGGGGTTCAAACTTATGACGTTGGTTGTGAGTGGAAGCATAACACAAACAACCAAAAACCTTTAGCATGGAAAAATCGGGAGGAATTTTATTTAGAAGTTCAAAAGGTGTTTTATGTGAAATGATGGGAGAAGGAACCCGGTTAATGAGAAAAATGGCATGCTTAATGGCATAGGACCAAAAATTTGAAGGAAGTTTAGATTGAAACATGAGGGCCCTAGCAACATTAAGGATATGTTGATGTTTGCGTTCCACTCTCCCATTTTGTTGGGGTGTGTAAACACAACTAGTTTGATGGATAATTCCTTTAGAATTGAAAAAATCTCTTAAAAAGAATTCCGGTCCATTATCCGATCGTATGCATTTAACTTTGGTTTCATATTGATTCTCAACCAAATTAATGAAATTATGAACATGAGTCTTCACTTCACTTTTTGATTTTAATAAAACAACCCATGTATATCTACTAAAATCATCAAGTATGGTAAGAAAATATTTGTGCCCGTGAATGGATGCCTTTGAAAAGGGTCCCCAAATATCCATGTGAATCAAATCAAAAATCTTAGATACTCTACTTGAGCTAGGAGAATAAGACAACTTCTTTTGTTTAGCAAAATGACAAACGTCACAGACTTCATTAGAATGTTTTGAAATAAAGGGAAATTGTTGATTCAAGACATTAAGACGGTTACTAGATAAGTGTCCTAATCTAAAGTGCCAAAGATTGGAGTTATTGATGGGGGTGGCAGTAGCATTATTAGTGGATGATCTCCTTTCCTTTCCAATATCTAAGTGAAAAAGTCCTTCTTTTAAGTTAGCCGAACCAATCATCTTCAAGGTGTTCATGTCCTGTATTTGGCAAAGAATATTAGAAAACTGATTTGAGAAAATGACACGGCATGGTGCAGTGAGTAACAGTTTAGGAAGAGATAATAAATTAAAAGAAAAATTTGGAACAAAGAGGACATCATGGATAACGAAATCCGGAGATAATTGTATGCTTCCAGAAAAGTGGGCTTGAACAATGGACCCATTTGGTAAATTAATATTTAAAGGTTTAATTTCAGAATATTTAAAAAATAAATCTATGGATGTGGTTATGTGATCAGTGGCTCCGGAGTCAATTATCCATGGTGTGGTGTGTGAGAGATTATTAAGTGTGTGTGTGGTGTTAATAGAAAAAATAGACCTACTACCAAGACCACTGTCATGAGATTGGTTTGGGGTGGAGTGAGAGAGGTTAGCCCTTGAAGGCGTTTCTGAACTTCCCCCACCAGATCCAGAGGCTTTATTCAGAAAGCCCATTAGCTGTTGGAATTGGGCCATAGCAGTGTGAAGGTCTTGGCCCAAAGTTGAACCATCCTGTCTTTCTCTGTCGCGAGTTAGGGCCGGCGAAGGAGGAGTTGAAGAAGAGGAGACAGCAGCGCTGTTAGCAGCGCCTCTAGTGGTAGCGTTTCCAGCTGCAAATGTGTTTTTGTTATTGAAAAGGCGTGGCTTTCCTGGGTATTTGGGATGTCCAGGTGGATAGCCATACTTTCCGTAACACACATCTTCAGTGTGTCCAACC